AAGTAAACGAATTTCCCATTCTATTTCTGAAATAGTCCAAGCAACGGTCGCTTTGTCGCATCCAGTATTGACAACTTCAAACTGCTGCGGTATAGACACGGTGTTAAAGTGATAGACACAGAATTCCAATAATCCTGCTGATGTCTGCGTTTTTAATGTTGATCAAAGAAAATAGAACAAAGAAAAAAAAACAATATATTACATTTCTGTAGGCTACCTGAAAATCACTGTTAGACCTGCCTGAAATGCACCGTTTCTATTTGTATCTTTGTTGTATAGTAGGCTATTTTGTGCTATTGCTTGTAATTTGATTTGCTTTTATTTTACAACTCACTATTTACTAGTCTTTAAAAATGTAGCCTATTAAGTTTTTATTGGTTAAGCTAGTAGTTTTAGCAGGTATCGAAACTGGAATCAAGGATTGTGATTTTTTGCTATTAACTAAAATTTTGGTGTCATAACTGCCTGTTATGGCAGTTTTGTTTTTTTCCATGGCTGGTAAGAAATATTTCTGGCCGGTACATTTTCTTAAGTCATCGGCCATTGGCAGGTCTGGCAAAAAGTTAAATGTAGGTCCTGGTTGCAGGAATAGCATTACAAAGCAGGAGACAACTCACAATTGATTTCAACAAAGTTTGGCGTTAGCATCACACACAGCTTAAAATAGTAAAATGTGCTATTTTTTTTTTTTAAATACCTTATTCACTTTGGTATTCTGCCTTAAACCAGTATTTTAAAGGCATATTTTGAGGTTGCAGTAAATTGTTGAGGCTGATATATGCCATTGTTCTCCTCTGAACACAGTGCATTTATCCTACTGACTCATAGGGTCGGTGATGTTGACGTACTCACCATGACTAATGGCTTTATCAGTAGCTCTTGCTGTGATGTTGCCCCTAGCTATCAGACATGGATCCAGGTCTCAGCTCTCTGTAGCAGTGTGTGTGTGTGTGTGTGTGTGTGTTACTTGTGCATGTTGTGTTTCCAGGAAGGCTGCGCTTAGAGCGCTTCCGTTGATCGTTGATGAGCTGTCAACAATGTCTGAACCTTTATCACACAGGCACATGTGTAACCAGCACATTTAATATGCAATTAATACTGGATTATTTGCATGTAGTGTTTGGTAGATGTTTTGTTACATAAAATATGGCTGAAAAGAAATAACATGATACATTTAGTCAGGTTTATGCCTAGAAAACATGATAATGGTCAAGATACATTCTCTGAATTTTAATAAGTAGCTTCCAGCTATTAATCTTTTAACAACAGTGATTTTATAAAGTTTTAATAATCTGATATTTTTGAATATGGATACGAATACAGTTCTGTGCTACAAATTTTACTTGTGTCTGGTTCATCACTTTTTCTAGACATTTAAGGGATATTTAATTTGTTTTGCTAGATTATGACTATTTTGGTTCTAAGATCCTTGATAGTGTTAGGGAACTTTATTGGTCCCTAATAAATCAATAAAGTTTTTTTGCTGCATGTGATTCTAAAAAACAAAAAATGTCTTCATAAACTATCATCAAAAAGCGATAACTCAGTGTCCACCTCTTCCCTTTGGACTCTGCAAAAAATCAAAAAAGTATTTTTTGTCAAAATGTTTGTTAAAATATCTAAAAAAAAATTGTGAAACAAGATGTATAAAGATTAGATAGATAGATACATACATACATAGATAGATAGATAGATACATAGATAGATAAAGGTTAAAAAGACTCTTCTCATTATGAAACTTTTCTTTTTCCAATAAATTCCCAATGATAAAATCTAGTCCTTGCCTTATTTTTTCTCGTTTGATATCCTGTTACACCTAAAATATGTTTCATGTTTACTTATTTAATTCTGTTAAAGGAAAATTCGATTTTGCGCAGAGAATTTTGAAACTGCATGTCATGTCGGAGCCTTGGCTTAGCAGCACATTGGGCCTTGGTGCTCATGCGGATGGTATGAGTTCAAATCTGGCTTGCAGTCTTTTCCAATCCTTTCCTTATTGTTTCCTATTTTATTTTTCATTATCAAATTAGAAGTTTCAAAAAAAGAGGCTGCATGTCCTTCCACACTACCAGACGGAGAGTGAATGTAAATAGCACCGCTGCTGGTCACAGCTCACTGCATCCCACAACATTAAAGAGGAAGTTCTCTTTTCACCAGAGCTTGTTTTATTCCTCCGATAATCCCTGGTGCCTGGCTCTCTCCTGCAAGCGTCTAAAGAGGTGTCAAAGGAATTATTCACCCCTTCACGTGGTTCATGAAGGAATCCACATTGATGTCCGTCCCCGCCGGCCATTTAAATAGCACCGCTGCTGCTCACAGCTCACTGCATCCCACAACATTAAAGAGGAAGTTCTCTTTCACCAGAGCTTGTTTTATTCCTCCGATAATCCCTGGTGCCTGGCTCTCTCCTGCAAGCGTCTAAAGAGGTGTCAAAGGAATTATTCACCCCTTCACGTGGTTCATGAAGGAATCCACATTGATGTCCGTCCCCGCCGGCCATTCTAGCGAGCAGCTTGGCCATGAATAGCAGACAGGATTAGTGCCAACAGGACAGAATGAGAAGCGAGCAGACAGAGGGAGGAAAGAAAGAGGCAGATTTATGGGGCGAGGCTCAATGAGAGTGAAAGTTCCTCATATGACTACTTGTCTACAGTGTTTCCCCTTCTGCACTTTCATCTAAGCTAGACCTGCGCTACGAAGAGAGATCAAGTCATGAAAATGAATGTTTTAACCCTTTGCTGCCTAATCTCCCGTGATTGTTGCAGCTGAGTTTCTCACGTGTTCAAAGATCTGCTATTTTGTCCATTATGCTTGTGTTGTGTCTGCTCCTACCGGCTTTAGGCGACATTTGTAATCAAATAATCTGACCACCAGACGGGGGAAATAGTCATGTGATTTGATGACGAGTTGTGTTCAAGTATGGCAAATAAACAGGCCCCTACAAACACTCTTGGCTTATTGCTTTAGCAAAATGGTATGGATTAAAAATCATACAATGTATGTGTAATCATAATCATAATAGGTGTTTTAATATTTACTAAAATCCAGTTAGACTAGATTAGATTAAATTAGATTAAACTTTATTGTCATTGTGCAGAGTACAAGTACAGGGCCAATGAAATGCAGTTAGCATCTCACCCACTGATCTATAATATATCAGTGATCTCACCAGAAGTGCAAATAGCAATGTAGCCTTTATAAATAAATATAAGTATGTATATGCAATATATAAAGATTATTATTAGGGATTATTATTATGTAATATTTAAAAGATTAATACTGAAGATAAATATATTTATGTGATTAATATTTTTTTAGAAAATATTTTTTATATACTTCCCGTGGTGATACTGTGTGAATATCTCATGCTTGGAAAGACCTCTCAGCCAATCAGATTCGAGAACCAGAAAGAACTGTTGTGTAAACTTGTATACATTTACATTTTTAAATAATTTTCCATTTTTAAATTAACTGTATTTTAAAAATCATCCTGACAGGTGTATCAATAATATAAATATCATATGTCTAAAAAAAAATCTTTAAAATGTTGTGAAATATTGTGTGATGATTATCTTTTAAAATATTTTCAAATGACAAAGTTGCAAAATGACTTACTTTTATTTAAAGGGGTCATATGATGCTGCTAAAAAGAACATTATTTTGTGTATTTGGTGTAATGAAATGTGTTTATGCGGTTTAAAGTTAAAAAAACACATTATTTTCCACATACTGTACATACTGTACATTCCTCTATGCCCCGCCTTTTTGAAACGCGTCGATTTTTACAAAACTAATCGGTCTGAAAAGCGAGGTGTGCTCTGATTAGCCAGCTATCCAGTGCGTTAGCCGTTTTAGGTAGGTGTGGCTAACTCTTAACTTTTATAAAGAATATCTCTTTGGATTTGAGACTTTAGTCTTTGCAACTTTACAGATCTTATTTATGCACCAAGAGCTTGTAACACTCTAAAGAGAAAGGAAAAAATGAAATCGCATCATATGACCCCTTTAAAAAATCGTCCTGATAGCTGTATCACTAAATGTAAATGTCTAAATAGTTCTTTTAAAATGTTAATACCGTATATATATTATATTTTTAAATAACTTTCTCATAATATGATTAATTAAAAAAAAAAAAATCTTTAATGACAAAGTTGCTTATTGAATTTAAAAATTGTCCTGACAGTTCTGACATATGTCTATTGCTAATATAAATGCCATATATAATAATCTGCACATTTATTTATTGGCCTGGGACAAAGAGGATTAAATAAGTACGTGCATTTATTTATTAATGAACCATTTTAACAGCATTCTTGTTGCTCAAACAGTAGAGTACATGATACTAGCAACAAGATCATGAGTTTAATTCCCAGTGAATGCAAAAACTGATAAGATTATATCTTGAATGGAATAAAAGTTTGGATAAAAGCATCTATAAATTGTAACCCTATTTTATAAAGAGTGAAAGATGTCCAAGTATGAATATACTGTACCAACACTGACGCTCCACCAGACCATTTGAGCTCTAAATTGGCAACACAATAATACTACAGCAAAAATTACCTACTCAAATGTAGCAATGGGTTAGAGTGAATTATAGTTGCACCATTATAGACATCAGTCTGCAAACAAGATAATAAGGTGGAGATCAGGCTGCTCTTAGACCAGCGGGCTAAAATTAGACCTGGTCCATGATGAGGCCAACACTTTCACCATTTGTTGATGTTGTTGTTATGTCTGCAACAGTTTACAGTCAAAGCTTAGACCCTCTTCGATTAGCATATCAGGAAAATGAAAAGCCACAGGTGACGACTGACTGGATTAAGAAAGCTTGAATGAGGAGGTGCCTGGAGTGTAACCAACAGTGATGTGAGAGGGATCTCCCTTTGTCGGCTCTGTGCCTGTGCTTTCCTTGCCTTCCAGCTAATCCTCAGCTATTCTCACCAACGGCCTTGGGCTCAATGCTAATCTGACGAGAAGAGAGAGAGAGAGAGAGAGAGAGAAGGTGGTCTTCGTGTCTTTAAGCCTTCAGAGCCTGTGTTATGGACAGTTTGGATGGAGAACATGGTCTGTCTGATGGTAAGTTCCTAACTTTCTAAAAAACTGTCATTGATTTTCTAATTGCTAAGTCACTGAATGGTGATTTTACAGTTGTTTTAGGAGGTGTCTGTTTGGTAAAATGTTGTATGCCTGTAGAGTTGATGTTGCTTCAGAGAACGTTGTGACTCCATTGATGGTTCATCATAAGGATGTAAAGGAGAAAAGCAATGGTCTGCAAAAGTGGTGCTCCGTCATGCAACCAAAACTTTGAACTTTTGCTGTCTGACACAAGCATCTGTTGACCAGTGAGAATTTCAGAGAGGCAAGGCATCTTTCAGAAACAACTTTTGGAGCTAATTACTGATTTTGCTGTATTTTAACTGAAAAAAAAAACATATTCACAAACATTACAAAATATTACAGACCCCTATATACAGTATATATATATATATATATACATATACATATCTCAGTCATTATTCACTGAAATCAATTATTCATAAAAATAGGAGCTAGCAAATCACATGCTCATTCATGTTCATATTAAATGCAGTTCTTTACATAAAATTGAGTAAATCATAATCATGTAAATAAGCAGCTGTTTCAGTCTGTTCCTCACACAAAGCTAATGTATGCAAACTTGGGCTCCTGTCTCTATTGTTCTGTCAGTGTCTCTTCATTAATTTGATCACATGTCCCTCATCTCTCTGTGTCTCTCAGCTTGCACTTTCAGGTATGAACAGCCTCATGTATAGCAGTCATGCTCTGTGAGGAGTCATCAGCTGGACTCAGTGCTGGTCCGGATTCTGTGGTTCTGGTGAAACCGGATGCTGAGACCTCCACGGATCCTGTACAGGAGGCCATTCACAGTAGCACTTATGTTTCTTCTGTGATCCCTGTACACGGCGGCATCAGGTGGGTCAAAATCAGGGTTCCTGGAGGACCACTGCCCTGCTGAGTTTAACTCAAACCCTGATCAAACTCACTTACCTGTGATTGTCTAGGGATCCTGAAGACCTTGATGAACTTGCTCAGGTGTGTTTGATTAGGGTTGAAGGTAAAGTCTGCAGGGCATTGGCCCTCCAGGGCAAGATTTGAGGAAGTCATTCAGCCAAATGGCACATAATGTCCCATTAGACATTGGTAACATGTAATTGTGTGCGGTCCCGTGCACGTATTTATACATTTGACGTCAGAAAGTTGACATTTTTGCGACTTGATATTGCGTTGTGGATGAAGTTGTGAGTTGTGAAAGTTACAGTACATTTTCATAATAAAATTAACTATTGAAGCTGTAAAAAAACAAACAAAAAAATTGCAACTTTTTAATGTTTTTGAAAAGTCTTTTATGCTCACCAAGGCCGAATTTTTATTCGATCAAAAACACAGTAAAAACAGTAAATATTACAATTTAAAATAACATTTCATTATATTTTATTAAAATGTAATTTATTCCTGTGATTCAAAGCTGAATTTTCACCCAAAATGAATTTGCTCAAAGTGTGCTCACCCTCAATCCATGTAAATGAGTTTGTTTCTTCTTCAGAACAGATTTGTAGAAATGTATCATTACATCACTTGCTCACCAGTGGATCCTCTGCAGTGAGTGGGTGCCGTCTCTGATTTCACTGATGTGTTATTATGAATTATTTATTTTTTGGCCAGTTAAAACACCTTAATGATGGATTTGTTTATTAAAAACACCCAGCTTTTCACTTCACAAGATGTTAATCGATGCACTGGAGTGTTGTGGATTATTGTGATGTTTTTATCAGCTGTTTGGACTCTCATTCTGACGGCACCCATTCACTGCAGAGGATGCACTCTAAAAAATGCTGGGTTAAATATAACCCAGCACTTTAAAAAGCTTTTTGGCTCATAAATATTTAATTTAGTATCCTGGAATCTTGTGTGATCTTTACACTCTAAAAAATGCTGGGTTTGTTCAACCCAACTTTGGGTCAAATTTGGACTAACCCAACTTTTGGGTTAAAAATTGAATGTAAAAATTTAACCCAACAGTTGGGTTAGTCCATATTTGACCCAAAGATGGGTTGAAACAACCCAGCATTTTTTAGAGTGTAGCTATTGTTCTCTGTATCTGCAGAATTGATGGTTGATATCCGGGTCTCTGTTTTCAGTCTGAACTCTGACGAGCCGTTCTGTCGTATCTGTCATGAAGGCAGCGGCGCGGGTGATCTGTTATCTCCCTGTGAGTGTGCCGGCTCTCTGGCGATGGTGCACCGTGTTTGTCTGGAGCGCGGGCTCACGGCCTCCGGCACCAGCCACTGTGAGCTCTGCCACTTTGAAACCCAGCATTTTTTAGAGTGTGTAATGATACATTTCTGCAAATCTGTTCTGACAAAGAAAGAAACTCATCTACATCTTGGGTGGCCTGCGGGTGAATACATTTTCATTTTTAGGTGAACTATTACTTTAAAAAGCTTTTTGGCTCATAAATATTTAATTTAGTATCCTGGAATCTTGTGTGATCTTTACACTCTAAAAAATGCTGGGTTTGTTCAACCCAACTTTGGGTCAAATTTGGACTAACCCAACTTTTGGGTTAAAAATTGAATGTAAAAATTTAACCCAACAGTTGGGTTAGTCCATATTTGACCCAAAGATGGGTTGAAACAACCCAGCATTTTTTAGAGTGTAGCTATTGTTCTCTGTATCTGCAGAATTGATGGTTGATATCCGGGTCTCTGTTTTCAGTCTGAACTCTGACGAGCCGTTCTGTCGTATCTGTCATGAAGGCAGCGGCGCGGGTGATCTGTTATCTCCCTGTGAGTGTGCCGGCTCTCTGGCGATGGTGCACCGTGTTTGTCTGGAGCGCTGGCTCACGACCTCCGGCACCAGCCACTGTGAGCTCTGCCACTTTGAGTTCGCTCTGGAGAGACTTCCCAAACCGCTCACTGAGGTAAAATCATCAGCAGCAGTGCTTGGGAATGATTTTTATCCTCTGAAGGATAAAATCCTCTACAATATGCATAATTGTAAACATTCAACCAACTTTTGACGTCAATGAAAAACTATTTTTTTAGCTCCATTTATTTTCATTTTGCAGGTTCAGCAGGTGATAAAACTGCATCTTGAGAACCGACTATTTACGCTTTCTGTAATTCTGTTGGTGGCTGCATGTTGCTATGGAAACTTAGATATTATGTGACCTCAGCTGACATCTGTCAGTCTGACTTCAGAATTTATGTGAGACACTGGAATAAAGAGAGCTAAAACTGTAAATGGACATATATAATAACACTCTCTCCATAATAGTCAGATGGAAAGTGTTTTTAAGCGGCATTATTAGCATCCGTTCTCCTGCAGTCAGTCACTCTTGAGTCTGAGTCGTGTCCCCGCTTCACATATTGGCAGGTCTGCATTCCCTCGGCTTCTTTTAAACACTGATCCACTTAGCAGGAAAATGAGATTAGATGAGAATCGTATCCCTGTCGCTGCTGCTTATCTCACGTTGGGCGGAGGACAGGAAGATGACACAACAGTCCACGAGCATCACAACCTGCTGAGCCGCAGCAAACCTGACCTGCTCTGTGAATGCTGTGCCTGTGCTTACTCACATTACAGAACCAGTGATTTCATGATGGATTTAGCTGTTTTATCTATCTATCTATCTGTCTGTCTGTCTGTCTGTCTGTCGTAATAGTTCACCTAAAAATGAAAATGTATTCACCCGCAGGCCACCCAAGATGTAGATGAGTTTCTTTCTTTGTCAGAACAGATTTGCAGAAATGTATCATTACACACTCTAAAAAATGCTGGGTTATATTTAACCCAGCATTTTTTAGAGTGTGTAATGATACATTTCTGCAAATCTGTTCTGACAAAGAAAGAAACTCATCTACATCTTGGGTGGCCTGCGGGTGAATACATTTTCATTTTTAGGTGAACTATTACTTTAAAAAGCTTTTTGGCTCATAAATATTTAATTTAGTATCCTGGAATCTTGTGTGATCTTTACACTCTAAAAAATGCTGGGTTTGTTCAACCCAACTTTGGGTCAAATTTGGACTAACCCAACTTTTGGGTTAAAAATTGAATGTAAAAATTTAACCCAACAGTTGGGTTAGTCCATATTTGACCCAAAGATGGGTTGAAACAACCCAGCATTTTTTAGAGTGTAGCTATTGTTCTCTGTATCTGCAGAATTGATGGTTGATATCCGGGTCTCTGTTTTCAGTCTGAACTCTGACGAGCCGTTCTGTCGTATCTGTCATGAAGGCAGCGGCGCGGGTGATCTGTTATCTCCCTGTGAGTGTGCCGGCTCTCTGGCGATGGTGCACCGTGTTTGTCTGGAGCGCTGGCTCACGACCTCCGGCACCAGCCACTGTGAGCTCTGCCACTTTGAGTTCGCTCTGGAGAGACTTCCCAAACCGCTCACTGAGGTAAAATCATCAGCAGCAGTGCTTGGGAATGATTTTTATCCTCTGAAGGATAAAATCCTCTACAATATGCATAATTGTAAACATTCAACCAACTTTTGACGTCAATGAAAAACTATTTTTTTAGCTCCATTTATTTTCATTTTGCAGGTTCAGCAGGTGATAAAACTGCATCTTGAGAACCGACTATTTACGCTTTCTGTAATTCTGTTGGTGGCTGCATGTTGCTATGGAAACTTAGATATTATGTGACCTCAGCTGACATCTGTCAGTCTGACTTCAGAATTTATGTGAGACACTGGAATAAAGAGAGCTAAAACTGTAAATGGACATATATAATAACACTCTCTCCATAATAGTCAGATGGAAAGTGTTTTTAAGCGGCATTATTAGCATCCGTTCTCCTGCAGTCAGTCACTCTTGAGTCTGAGTCGTGTCCCCGCTTCACATATTGGCAGGTCTGCATTCCCTCGGCTTCTTTTAAACACTGATCCACTTAGCAGGAAAATGAGATTAGATGAGAATCGTATCCCTGTCGCTGCTGCTTATCTCACGTTGGGCGGAGGACAGGAAGATGACACAACAGTCCACGAGCATCACAACCTGCTGAGCCGCAGCAAACCTGACCTGCTCTGTGAATGCTGTGCCTGTGCTTACTCACATTACAGAACCAGTGATTTCATGATGGATTTAGCTGTTTTATCTATCTATCTATCTGTCTGTCTGTCTGTCTGTCTGTCATCTATCTATCTATCTATCTATCTATCTATCTATCTATCTGTCTGTCTGTCTGTCTGTCTGTCTGTCTATCTGTCTGTCTGTCTGTCGTTCTATCTATCTATCTATCTATCTATCTGTCTGTCTGTCTGTCATCTATCTATCTATCTGTCTGTCTGTCTGTCTGTCATCTATCTATCTATCTATCTATCTGTCTGTCTGTCTGTCTGTCTGTCTGTCTGTCTATCAGTCTACCTGTCTGTATCTATCTATCTATCTATCTATCTATCTATCTATCTGTCTGTCTGTCTGTCTGTCTATCTATCAGTCTACCTGTCTGTATCTATCTATCTGTCTATCTGTCTGTCTGTCTGTCATCTTTTCATTCATTCATTCATTCATTCTTTCTTTCTTTCTTTCTTTTTTCAGTTTCTTTCATTCTTTTTTCTTTCTGCATGTATTTCTTATTCTTTTTACATTTGCTGAATTATAATATTCACTTAGCTATGCATTATGTAAAGTGGTTTTGTGATATGGATGGTTGCAAATAAATGTTTTTCTTTATCTTAAGTTGTCTGAATTTTAAGCTCCATTTGTAAAAAGTTAATAAAAAATTTGAGTTATTAACCAAAAAACACATGAAATAAGCTTTCAAACTGCCTTAATTCAAGTATAAACCCCTCCTAATGAGCTGTTTTTCGTGGCTGCAGTGGTTCACCACACCTTCCATGCAGCAGCAGAGACGGACGCTGTGCGGGGATGCCATCTGTTTCCTGTTCATCACACCCTTAGCGGGTCTGTCAGGCTGGCTGTGTGTGCAGGGAGCCATGGATCTGTACTACAGCAATGGCATGGAGGCCGTGGGACTCATTGTTCTCACACTGACACTCTGCACTATTTACCTCTTCTGGACTGTTGTAAGTTCACTCTTGTTTTCAGTGTAGCAAAACGAAAGTGCAAAGACATTTTACACCTGCAGTGTTTCCGACTGGTGCAGCATAAGAAATTACTCTGATTTAGAAAACAAAAACACACATTGATTAGATTTATGACACCCAGGATGATACAGTGAAAATTGAATAAAGAAAAATGTCAAAATTGAAAAATGAACAACAAATTTGTATAAGTGTATAAAATGTCAAATGATGAAAAAATGGTTCTAACTTTTCCACATGATTTTCCTTTTTAACCGCAGGTATCCCTACGTTACCACATTCATCTCTTCAGGATGTGGAACGAGACAAATCCCAGCATCCGGCTACAGATTCCCCATCCTGTGAAGACACACCAGAGACCAAAACATCTAACAATGCACTTCTTGTGCAAATACAAGAATAAGGAGACCATGGTATAGTGCCTGAAACATCACCAGGAAGAAAACAGCCGGCTATTTCAGAAAAACCCTGATTTCATGATGTCCTGATTTTGTGTGAAGCCCTGATTTCGAGTCACTCTTAGATCTGGAGTGACATTCTGATTTGGAACTCACATGCTGAACTGAAGCGATGTCCTAATTTAGAGTGAAACCCTTTTGAAGTGGATAGTTTCATCTTCACTTGTGTTTTTAAATAATGGAAGACTTTAAAACAAGGAACATTTCAGTCAGAAAATGTCAGCATCTGAAATGCATGGAAATGCAGAAAAAGAACACGTCTTCATAAATAAACGAGAGAAAAATGGTGAGATTATAACGATTGAGCTATGTATACCTGCAGGTTTTACCTTACAAAACTGCTTCATAATTATTCAACATAATATATATCTAGAGGAACATACAGTGGATACAGGTAAGACAATCTTATAGCTATGTAGATCATTTCATTACTGTTTGCTTTACACTTCAAATGGTTTCCTTCCATAAAACAGGAAAAAAAGTGAACATTTAATCATCTTTTAATCATTTGATGTTGTAGCTGAATTGAAAAGCCTAAAACAAATCCTTTGTACATTGTGTGCATGAAAATCCAACATGAGAAAATATACACTTTTTTTCAGCAAGGATGAGTTAAATTAATCAAAAGTCACAGTAAAGTCATTCCTTTCTATTCATCACAGAATCCTGAATATTTTTATTACACTTTCCACAAAAATATTAATCAGCACAAATGTCTCCAAAAATGATAATAATAATAATAAATGTTTCTTGAGCAGCAAATCAGCATATTAGAATGATTTCTGAAGGATCATGTGACACCGAAGACTGGAGGAATGATGCTGAAAATTCAGCTTTGATCACAGGAATAAAACATTGAAATTCAAATAGAAAACAGTTATTTGAAATTGCAATAATATTTCACAATACTGCTGTTTTTACTGTATTTTTGATTAAATAAATGCAGCCTTGGTGAGCAGAAGAGACTTTTTTTTCTCATCCCAAACATTTGAACGGAAGTGTAAAGTTGCAAATTATTTATTTTAATGAATTCATTCAAATTTGGCACCAGTCACCACAACCTAAAATACGAATTGTCAGTCCAATTCAACAGCAAATTTCAGGTGAATGGGTTGAATATCTCTTTCGATATAATCTTTTGACTCTCTCTATCTGTCCGCATTTCTGCAAAAATGATATGATTGGTAAGTCATGCCAACTTATGTTTTACATTACTTTAACTCATCAAAATAAATTGAGCACCTTTTGTTAAATTATATTTTAAGTCAGTTTAATGTAAATTAAGTTGAAATGACTTGTACAACCAAGTTGATTGTACTTAAACTTAAGTTTTTATGTTGAAATAGTCTGAATGAGGACATGATTTGATTCCAATTGTGAAAGTGAGAAACAAGCAAATAAAAACAGGTTTTACATTTTTTTTTACCCTTACATTGCTGGTACAAATAACCTGAGGGTGTTTCTGAATCATTCAGAGAGAAGATGCATGATCGTACAGCATCTAGTGAACCACAGACTGGCTAGTTTTCCTCACTTCAACACAGTCAGAATACAAATAGCTCCATTCAGTGAGGCGAATGGATCTGCATTCAGTAAAAGAGCGGTATGTGTTAGTATTCACACTTTGAGATGATTTACAAGCAGGCGAACCACAGTAGTTCAATGTTAGGCTAATGTGTGCAACTGAGGAAATGACATACAAGTAGACTTTTGATAGGCGTGATTGGTGAGTTTATCAAATCCTATGTGAGAACAGCACAGATTTTACCCATTGGCAAAATGAGTAACAGTAAATCGTAATGGTAACATTAGTTGACAAGAACAGTGCTTAAAAGAGAGATGAAGGGAATCATGCATCTCTGCTATTGCACTCATTGTCCAATAATTGCATCATTTGCACAGTAACAGCTCAGAGTCTAGAGAAGCACTTTTCTTTTTTTAGGCATTTTAAGAAAAACAGCCAATGTTTGCCTCTAAACTGCAAAATTATTGATGTCTTTGGTGTTATTAATGACAAGAGCATCTGCAGTAAATAAATCACCTGTCACCTGTCACCTGTCCTTATGTTCAGTCTACAGCCACCAAAAATCTTTAGTTGAACTCTGTTGTTTGCATCTCTTAAAGCTGCAGTCCGTAACTTTTTTTGGTTAAAAATGATCCGAAATCAATATTTGAGCAAGTACATAACCAGCCAGTGTTCAAAACTATCGCCTTACTTTAGCCCGATTCACAACGGTTAGCTTATAATAATGTTTTCTAATTTGAGTGGTACAGGTAGGTTTTCGCGGGAAATTCGAGCATGCTGCTGCGTAATTACGTCACGTCTGTAAACATAAAGAAGTTGTCCCGGCTACTAGTCTATCGCATGTGAGGATCCTGCAGGTGGCTGATCGTTTATAGCCTTTTCTCACAGCAGCCAGCATAATTAAATGTATCATTTTTATGCCGTATTGTAATCCATAAAGGATTATGTGTTTATGAAACACATGTGAATGAAATTAAATTATATTCCAGTTATAAATGTGCTTCTGATTACAGATAGCCTGGGATTACAAAGATTTGTATTTTTAAAGAAAACCAGTCGAAGGGAGCATAATTTGCTTTATCTGTGATTGCGAAGTACAGTAAATATCCACACCGGTGCGGTGACTGACTGCCACACATACTCTTCAGAACATTAGATTCATCCAGGCTGGAGCACAACCCACGCAAGTTAGATTATTCCACACTCAGCTGCAATTCCAGGTTTTCAAACAGAGATGGCGACAAAGAGGCAAAACTTACAGACTGCAGCTTTAAATAAGTGGTGTCAATGTGATTAAGCTTGAGTCATTCATTTTTGTTCCTGGGAGCCACCAACTTTTAAAAAATTGCAACCAGCACAAAAAAACAAAACAAAAAAACACCAATTTCCCAAAGGGGGAAGTAGTCGCGTAATTAGAGAGTCGGACTCATAACCCAAAGGTTGCGGGTTCGAGTCTCGTACCGGCAGGGATTGTAGGTGGGGGGAGTGAATGTACAGTGCTCTCTCCCACCTTCAATACCACGACTGAGGTGCCCTTGAGCAAGGCACCGAACCCCCAACTGCTCCCCGGGCGCCGCAGCAAAAATGGCTGCACACTGCTCCGGGGGGGTGTTCACGGTGTGTGTGTGTTCACTGCTGTGTGTGTGCACTAAGGATGGGTTAAATGCAGAGCACTAATTCCAAGTATGGGTAACCATACTTGGCCACATCTCACGTCACTTTTCACTTTCACTTTCAATTCACATATCCAGGTTACAGAAGTAAAAATTCAATTTATTTTTTAAGTTTTTTTAAACATTACCGACATTCTGACTGCTTTGCAGGCAACTTCAAATATACTATTTTATACTCATTTTCCATTTGTATATAATCCTTTAATTCGATTGTCATATGCTTCATGAGATGAGTAGTTCATTCCCTCATTTAAACGTTTAAGGACAAGTACCTAGTACCTTTTTCTTTTTTTAAAGTATTCGGGGGGAGAAAAATCATGCTTTAACTCAAGGTTTGTAGTGTTGTTATTCATCTCGGTTTGGTTCATGGCTAACTGAAGAATTCTGAAAATCCATATGGAGAAAATAACTGGAAAATTACTAACAGATCCAAGGCCGCTGAAAAAAAAAGAAGAAAACACACAACTGCTGATTTCACGCAGAGTTGAAGGTGATCTCTGAGCCGTCTATATATGAATAGAGGTACAGTAATATTAGTCTCATGGCTGTATACCTGAATAGTAGTCTACAGTAATGGGACCCATTACTAGACATTATTGGATTGTTTAATCTATTATAGTTTGAAATTACCATCATTTTTTTTGTACAGTATAAAAATCATTAGGCTACGTATATGGAATGTTCCCATAAAACATGACAACCACTGTGTGTGTGTGTGTGTGTGTGTGTGTGTGTGTGAAAATCATATATCTTTAACATTTCTGTAACATGCTGCTGGCCGACTGTCACACAACGCCCCTGTCTGGAGGGTAAAGTAATAGCAATGGGATCCAAAAGACCTCAGTGGACATCTGGCATTCATGATCCATTGCTGCATGTAATCTGGATTATCTAATCAGATTCCAAAAACTAAATACTTTTAATTAGATTACATTACATTTTAAAATACTCGTAATCAGACTACAGTTACTTTTTTTATGGATTACACAATTACGTATTATTCACACAACAGCAATTCATTATTCATTATTTATTTATTATCCCTAATTCTTTAAAAAAAAATTTTTTAAATCTTTTTAAAGTTCCTTTCTAAAATAGCCTACCGCTTATGTACATTCAGAATATATATATATATATATATATATATATATATACACACACACACACACACACACACACACACACACACACACACACACATTGTGAACACACACCCGGAGCAGTGGGCAGCCATATTGCTGCTGCGGCTGGGGAGCAGTTGGGGGTTCGGTTCTTGCTCAAGGCTACTTGTGCATTCGTGTTAAGTTCATTTTTGAGAATCAGGAAAATCCACTTGCTTCATTCCGCTCCGTGTTCATGCAGGGCTTTTCTTTTTTGTGTGCAGAAGCCCTTCACCGGAGATGATGTAAATAACATTGCAGACAACACTAAATCGATAGCCTAATAAATCATGGATTCGCTAATTTTGATCAAACTATCATGTTTATTTTTCAAATCCACTGGTCACAATTGACACACACACACACACACACACACACACACACACACATTGTGAAACCTTGGCGTAATGTAACGTTTATTGCAGTTCATGTTGTTAATAACAACAAAAGAAATATATTTTCTTTCTCTATTTAAATCAATGTGATAAATGAGTTAGGTCAAAAGTAATCTAAAAGTAATCAAAAAGTAGTCTGATTATATAATGTGTAATGTAATGAACTTTTACTAACTAAAATCTTTGTCATGTAATTTGGAATCAGTAACGATTACAATTTGTAAGTAATCTACCCAGCTCTGTCATCATCTAAATGTGCAGTGAAAGTTTTAGGATTTTCAATAGATCTAAAATAGAGGACAGTTATGATGTAAAATAAATAAATATGAAATATTTATGATTTTGCACTATTTCTAGGTCACTAATCAAATAAGTAAATTATTCATGTATAGTGATGTTGATCATTGATCATATGACCTTTTGTATGTTCAGATGTTTTTACTTCCATTGAAGAACAAAACATCATGATCGTCAGGTTTTGTACAAACTTGAGTTCATGCAGCTTGAGTGTTGCTGTTAAAGCAGATGATCAAATCTAAGCCATTCTGAAATTAGGTAATTTTTTAAATTAAACTTTTAATTCATATAAGGAAAACTGTATTAAATTAGAACATAGAAGCATTCTCACTAATGGTCTCAGACTTTTGCATACTAAAAATCATGTCATTATGTCTGACAGATGACTACTGTCAAATATATGATTTAGCATCTGTATTTGAAATTTGTTTATGAAATATGAATAACTGCTAGTTTTGGAATAAAAGAATTGCTTAATATTTGAGAAAACTATTGAATGAAAACCGTGTGATTTTCTTCAACAGCAGGTGGAGATAAAAGTCCATGAATCCACTCAAAGAGTAGCCTACAACTCAACAGCTGTAATAAGAACCGATTCCTTCTGAATTTAGAAAGGAAGCACACAACCAGAAACGGCCATGAATATTTCTCATGCATCTCATGGTTACATATTTTTTGTTGTATTTTGCTGTTCAAACTCTAAGATCTAAGTGCACATCAGTTGTTTCCCACCCATTCGGATTATAGGCCTCCTTTCTTCAATTTAAATGTAACACTTGAGTACTTCAAATTTTATTCATCAAAAAGTCTCCTTCTAGATTTATGTGGAATAATAATGAACCCTGTAGATCCAAGAGCTCACTAATAGTCTCTTTAAAAGTATGAAAAGCTTTGCCCTTCTGCTGCTCACTTTGACTTGAACCAGGGCAGGTGAAAGCATATCAAAGCTTCTCGCTGCCAAACGTTACTCTACACTTCATAATAAACAGATATGCTGTGCTCAACAAGCCCTTTGATCACTCGCAGGAGCATATAGAATGATAAAAGCCCACATGAAGAGCTAGGGTGCTCTCTGGAATCAATCCAAAGGGTTTAATGATGTTGAGTTGAGAATGTATTTGAACATTTACGAATGAATGTATGTCATTGCATTAGATACAAAATATCAAACCTATATGATGCTGTTTTTTAATCAACAAATATATATAAATGTGTGTGTATATGTGTGTGTGTGTGTGTGTTTGTATGAATGTACAGTATGTGTGTGTATATATAAATATATATATATATATGTACATACACATATACACATATTCAACATGTGTAGGCCTAATCAATCAGTGTTTTAAGTGATTTACATTTTATTTATTTTTATGTAGATTAGTAGCGGATCTTGTACCTCTTGATTTGATATTTTGTTATCTAATGCAATTACACTTACATTGCTGAATAAATATAAAAGCATGACATATAATACAGTTTAAATTGTGTGTGTGTGTGTGTGTGTAAATTTATATAAAATAGCCTAAACAAATTAATCAAAACCCACTTTTGGTTAACATCAAAAAGCCTTACAGGAATGAATGAATGAAAATGGCGTTGTATGGGCTATTTTATATAAGCTTATGTCAACTATATAGTGAAAGTAGAAAGTACTTCTCATTACTTTTAGGGGTATGTTTTCTCGTGTTTTAAATGTTATACATTTCTATAATTATATACGTATTTGTGGACTAAAACAATGGTTTGATATTTTTCTTACCTTTAACATTTTCATTGTTTATTGAACGGTTTTGTATTTCGTATTTATTTTACTGTGTAAAATAAAACTATAATGGCAGGTTCCATTGTGACTCTATGTGACAACATGCCTCGCTGCGGGGGGAGCGATCGCGTCGCGTCCGGTGTGGGACGCCTAGCGGACTATCAGCTCAGCACATGAACTTCTGTCAGCTCAGTGTTCAGTACGCAGCCCTGCGCTGAGGATATCGCAGAAACTCGCAGGCATTCGCGCTGCATTCAGCCTTTATATCACCCGCCTGAGCGCTGCGCGTCGGCTACACGCCACTCAAATCAACATCATCAGGGCTCGTGCGGTGTTTATTGATTACTGGTGCGGCGCGCGCGCTTAATGGATTAAAATGTGAATCTATGAGTTACTTTGCAGCAAAGGTAAGAGCTGATCGCCTAAATGAACGTCTTTGCGTAGCTTTACACTGAATAAGACGAGTCTTTCAAGAGTAATATCAGCGGGTCTATCGGTTTTTATTTTCAAATGTTTTAACATGAGTCATTTATAAAGCAACTTTGATTTGTCTGACATAACCTGTATGTGCATTTGGTCAGTTGGTCCATCTCTTTGCAGCATCTCATAATGCACGCATCTGATCAAATGAAAGCCGAATCATATGAATATTTGTATATATATATATATGACATGCACTGCTGCACAGAAATGATTAGCAGAAACCTATTATACTGCATTTCTACTGCTGTTGCATTATGCATGGAGAGTACCTGAGAAAGAGGCATTTTTTTCACTGTCAAAAATCTCATACCAGACTGACTAGTGTAATTAAGTCATTCAAGAGTACCACTGTCTGGCACTTTCCATCTAAAATCAACAGTCTCATCAGAGGTAAATAATTGAGCATCATTCCTACAGCGGCAGTGATCTGTGGTTAAACACATCTCTGTCTGTCTCTCCTCAGGCTGATATCTGACTGACATCATTCACCAGGCAGCTCTGGAGCAGGATTTTAAAGATGGAGTTTTGGGTTTTGCCAGCATGTCGGATCAGCTTGATGTTGACACTGATGTCGTCCACTGGTCGGGTATGATAAATGTCAAACGTTGTTTTCATGAGTTAGTTATCGCTCACCTGAATGCTATCAATCAGATTTTCTCTACACTGTATTATTCTTGGCTACTGGCTGCTGTACTTTTAGTCCTTCTTACAGCATTGCCTCTACAGTTACATTTAATTTATAGTTCATATTCAAACAAACTGTACTGTGATATCATAGTGAGCAGGCCGGGTTATGACTGTGATGTTGCAGCATTGTTTAGCTGACAATGTTTTGAAACTCATTTGTGCTTGCTAACATGCTATTTTGCCATGTATAGTGCAGACTGCAAGTTGTAATCAGACTTATATTGGCTAATCATCATAATGGTGACACAACGCAAGAGTTTATGGCTGTTCGGGCCTTTTTCGAATCCCACAATGCAGTGTGATCTGATCATTTGTAAAGTAATTTGTTGTCCTCTGACAGTAAAATTATGTTGATTTTGCAGTAAAAGTTAGAATTTTTATTTTTATTGTAAGAAATCACTGTGAAAGAACTGGCAATAGAGTGAAAAATTTATGAAACAACGTAGACATTTTCTTGTATGTAGTGCAAAAATGTATCAAATGTTTATGCTTTTGATATTTGTTTTGTATTACTGGTGTATAATTATAATTGTGCACCTGTGCATTACAAATCAAACTGGACACCATCAAGCCATTTTTAAAAAATTTATATTACACTTTTTTTTTATAATCCATATAGCTCAAAAACAAATATTGTCCCCCCAAAATATTTGATAAACATCTAAAAACAACAATCGTCTATATCTAATCTTTTGTATTTTGTTTTAGTAAGTTTTAATGATTTAGAGTTAGTTTAGTGAGTAGATAAACTGTTTCACATTTGACCATTTTGAGATTACCAGCTTTAAATAATATTAAAATATTAAGTAAATTCAGTAATTTTATACATTTTTAGACTTCTTTATACTTTTACACATTCAAAGTTTGGGGTTGGTGCTATTTTAAAAAATATTTTTAATCAAATAACACTGCGTTTATTTGATTAAAAATTCAGTTTTTAAATATAATTTTTTTTTAACAGTTAAAAAATATTTTAAAATGCAATTTATTGCTGTGATGCAAAGCTGAATTTTCAGCATCATTATTCCAGTGTCACATGATCCTACAGAAATCATTCTGATATGCTTATTATCAGTGTTAAAAATGGTTGTGCTACTTAATATTTTTGTGAAAAACAAAATATTTTTCTCAAGATTCTTTGATGAAGTTTAAAAGAACAGTATTTATTTGAATTTGTTTTTTTGTAACAATGTAAAAGCCTTTATTTTCATTTTTAGTCAATTTAATACATCCTTGATGAATAAAATAATTTTTACTGATCCCTGAAAAAGGAAACTTCATTGTCTGTGATTTAAATGTAAGTGCTTGTAATATATTAGCCATCAGCTGAGGGTGGCTATCATATCTGCATCTTCCATTAAAACACCATATAGGCTGACCAGTAGTTTTATTGTTAGAGAGTGAGCATTAACTTGCAACGCAGATCAACCTGTGATATATATATGTGTGTTTATGTATATATATACAGATCAACTCAAATATGCTTCCCAAACGTCACAGCAACAGACAAGCCCAAATCAGCTCTCTCCTACAGCCTCTCAAGTCAGCTCATAGTCATGCACTTCATCACAGGTCCTGAGGGAACTGTTAAACGTTGCCCTTCTCTTTTTGTAAGAAACAGGTTATATATAGAGGGCTGGTGTGGATGTTAATGGAAGAGCTGGCATGGATGTGGACGCCAGCCTAATCCTGTACAATAGGGCCACTCGATAACAGCAATTTACACCGCCGAGCTGCCACCAAAAGTGGCCAAATCTCTTTGTCCTACGTGCCGGTACATGAATAACGACAGCTGAAACCCAAGTCCTTCCTTTGTGGAACGAAATGCAAGTGGAAAGACGGAGGAGAGAGCAGGTAGCAGGTAGTGGCATTAGTGCAGCAGTGCACTCAGGGATAGAGTGACAGCCGGGCCACGTTGAGCCCCTTTTCCATGCACGCACCATTTGGCTAGTGTCATTCATTCCCTAGTTTGTACGCGAGCTGACGGACAGCAGCAGCTCTGTCTTTTACGCCGTTTTATACCACGTCAGAATTGATCATTTCCATTTCGCTGACTGAAGCAGGTGACTGTGGCCATCCATCTTGGAGAGAGCAGGTTTCTGCTGGAGTCTGAATTGAAATTTGATGTGCATTTATCCAGTCTCCATTAAAGCTCTTTGCAGTAATCTTTCAGAATAATATTTGTTCTATGGACTAAACACTTCGGCTTGATTTATGCGCGCGTGGGAGCCACCGCTGGGACTCCTTAAGAAGCTGTGAGTTTCGGCACTGAAAGCGAAGTGGAGTCTAACAGGTGTTTTCACTACTCTTTCCCCACATCTCCTATTTTCCTGCTTTTCCTATTAGAGAGCGGCTCTGCTCTTTCACCTCCCTCTGGCAGCACGCTCCTCCTCTTAGAGGCACATACATATCTTTCTCATGAAAGGACTTTGCAGGGTCAGATTGTGTTAGATGTGGGATTTGTTTGGCAGATGTATTTAATTTTGTTTTTTGTTCAGCCTGATAAAATGATCAAACTCATAAGGCCTCGGCTGAATTGCTGTATGGAGTTCTGTTAGTGTTTTATCTGTGTCTAGTATTAGGCCAGAAACATCGTTTTCCAAATAAGCAGATGTGAATTGCTTGGCAGCGCATTAATGCACACTTTATCTATCTATCTATCTATCTATCTATCTATCTATCTATCCGTTTGTCCGTCCGTCAATCATTCTATCGTTCTATCTATCGTTCTATCGTTCTAGCTATCGTTCTATCTATCGTTCTATCGTTCTATCTATCATTCTATCTATCATTCTATCGTTCTATCTATCTATCTATCGGGTCAGATTGTGTTAGATGTGGGATTTGTTTGGCAGATGTATTTAATTTTGTTTTTTGTTCAGCCTGATAAAATGATCAAACTCATAAGGCCTCGGCTGAATTGCTGTATGGAGTTCTGTTAGTGTTTTATCTGTGTCTAGTATTAGGCCAGAAACATCGTTTTCCAAACAAGCAGATGTGAATTGCTTGGCAGCGCATTAATGCACACTTTATCTGTCTATCTATCTATCTATCTATCTATCCGTTTGTCCGTCCGTCAATCATTCTATCGTTCTATCTATCGTTCTATCGTTCTAGCTATCGTTCTATCTATCATTCTATCGTTCTATCTATCGTTCTATCTATCATTCCATCGTTCTATCTATCGTTCTATCGTTCTATCTATCATTCTATCATTCTATCTATCATTCTATCGTTCTATCTATCATTCCATCGTTCTATCTATCGTTCTATCGTTCTATCTATCATTCTATCATTCTATCTATCATTCTATCGTTCTATCTATCATTCCATCGTTCTATCTATCGTTCTATCGTTCTATCTATCATTCTATCATTCTATCTATCATTCTATCGTTCTATCTATCATTCCATCGTTCTATCTATCGTTCTATCGTTCTATCTATCATTCTATCATTCTATCTATCATTCTATCGTTCTATCTATCATTCCATCGTTCTATCTATCGTTCTATCGTTCTATCTATCATTCTATCATTCTATCTATCATTCTATCGTTCTATCTATCATTCCATCGTTCTATCTATCGTTCTATCGTTCTATCTATCATTCTATCATTCTATCTATCATTCTATCGTTCTATCTATCATTCCATCGTTCTATCTATCGTTCTATCGTTCTATCTATCATTCTATCATTCTATCTATCATTCTATCGTTCTATCTATCATTCCATCGTTCTATCTATCGTTCTATCGTTCTATCTATCATTCTATCATTCTATCTATCATTCTATCGTTCTATCTATCATTCCATCGTTCTATCTATCGTTCTATCGTTCTATCTATCATTCTATCATTCTATCTATCATTCTATCGTTCTATCTATCATTCCATCGTTCTATCTATCGTTCTATCGTTCTATCTATCATTCTATCATTCTATCTATCATTCTATCGTTCTATCTATCATTCCATCGTTCTATCTATCGTTCTATCGTTCTATCTATCATTCTATCATTCTATCTATCATTCTATCGTTCTATCTATCATTCCATCGTTCTATCTATCGTTCTATCGTTCTATCTATCATTCTATCATTCTATCTATCATTCTATCGTTCTATCTATCATTCCATCGTTCTATCTATCGTTCTATCGTTCTATCTATCATTCTATCATTCTATCTATCATTCTATCGTTCTATCTATCATTCCATCGTTCTATCTATCGTTCTATCGTTCTATCTATCATTCTATCATTCTATCTATCATTCTATCGTTCTATCTATCATTCCATCGTTCTATCTATCGTTCTATCGTTCTATCTATCATTCTATCATTCTATCTATCATTCTATCGTTCTATCTATCATTCCATCGTTCTATCTATCGTTCTATCGTTCTATCTATCATTCTATCATTCTATCTATCATTCTATCGTTCTATCTATCATTCCATCGTTCTATCTATCGTTCTATCGTTCTATCTATCATTCTATTGTTCTATCTATCGTTCTATCATTCTATCTCGTTATATCGTTCTATCTATCATTCAATCGTTCTATCGTTCTATCGTTCTATCTATCGTTCTATCTATCATTCCATCGTTCTATCTATCGTTCTATCTATCATTATATCTATCGTTCTATCTATCGTTCTATCTATCATTCTATCATTCTATCGTTCTTTCTATCATTCTATCGTTCTATCGATTATTCTATCGTTCTATCGTTCTATCTATCATTCTATCTCGTTATATCGTTCTATCTATCCTAGTCTTAGCTGAACTGCAGTGCTTTCACCCCTCGTTTTCTTCAATAGTTGGCTGCACTTTGGCAGCAGGTTCTTATTAAGCTCTCAAATTCACTTGTTTGGATAATTCAGCACCTAACACTTCATCCCAGT